GTGGGGGGGTGCAGGGGGTGCTACCCCTCCAATATTAGCTATAACCCCCTCAAACAAAATGTTCACCCCTCCAAAAATATTTTCAACCCCCCCCCCCAATATTCGGCATAATAAAAAATAATTAAATAGTCCACTCCAACGTGCAGAGTGTTGATGGTACAAAATAAATGTAGGAGTACACTCATATAGAAAAAGACAGTGCAACACTCTGAAACTAATCGCTCCTCGCTTGCATTCACTGGAGCAATTGTAAAGTTTTGAAACTCTATTATCTCCCCTGAATAAAGTTTGTAGTGCCTTGTCATGCAAATAGCTTGCTTGCAAGGCACGTTTCGAATTTTTACGAACATTATTTTTAGTTTTTAATTCTTTTAGGAAATAGACTTGCCTAGATTTAATCTTTACGCCCCAAATATTATTTACATCGGAGTTGCATCATAAATTGTACTCTGATTCAAATGACACGTACAATGTTAATGACTTTATAAAAGTAAAAGCATATTGTGTATTGGCCTATTGGGTTTACACTGTTAGAGGTTCATTTAACTTTAACTCTCTCAAGTCTCAACAGACAATCGGACATGCCAAATCCATTGATATGACACTCTTCAAAAAACGTTTTTTCGAAGCTAGAAATCATGATTTTTTTTCCAATTTTTCCAGGGATACTTTGTTTTCTGCTCTCTAAACTCCCCCTCGCGGCTCTAGTGCTCCACCCCTAGAATCTATATAGACCTTACTGGGGTTTGGTGACACTTTGTGTTGCTTCAGTCACCTGCTCACGGCTCACCACCCTAAAATTTCTGGCACCACCCCAGTAAAAAATATGAAAATCCGTCTATGCCACTAACTACGTGTAAACATGAATTAATATTCAAATATATTTACCAGAAAACTATACGTCTATATGATAAAATGCTTTGTCGAGAGAGATAATGTTGAATAGTGAGAAAAATAAATACTCAATTCCTCCAATACTGATCAATATGTCTTCCTTTAGGTATTTGGGATATGCTTTTGAGGAGGATATGTCAGAAGGCTGGGCAGGAGGATCTATTGTCACAGTACAAATTTTTTGCTTGTCTGGAGAAGTCCTGTGATAACCAGACAATTAAGTCCATTTATTTTAGCGACAAATTACGAAAGATTGTTTATGGAGCGGTAAGCAATGTCACAATTCGTATTATTTTATCAAATTATACATGCATATCCGGTATAGAAACTAATTATTTTGATAAAAAGACAAAGTTGTCCTTTTTTCTAATTCGTAAAAATGATAAACATGCAGCACTTTTCTATTGTGTCTCGGCGAACAAACCTTGACTTAATCTAGTGTAATATTGATAATCTCTCAAACAATTAACAGGGTTGGCCAAGAGACAAGGAAATTACCAAGTCACTTGTAGTATGTGCAGTGAGATGCATGTTGATGAATCTGGAAGAAAGAATGAGCCTGAACGATCTTCATGGTACTCTAGAGGTATGCGATCTGTTTGTAATATAGCAAGTCTCAGATTTCGAAATGCAATCTAGAAAAGTATAACTATAAGCGTAAATCGAATCCTAGACAATCGAGAGGACAATTTCTCTTGATTGTCTATGATCAAATGAAGAGGTCCATGTTCACTATACAATTACTTTATGGTTTCCGTGTTTGGATGGCCTGATCCAAACACGCGGGAATGTTGCGAGAGTTAAGAAAAGCGAGCGAAACACGAGCCGAAGGCGAGTGATTTTGCCCGCTTTTCTTAACTCGAGCAATATTCCCAAGTGTTTGGATCAGTCCATCCAAACACGGAAACCATAAAGTAATTGTTTTATAAAATAACAACAACACGGTAGTCTTCCGTGTTTGGATGGCCTGATCCAAACACGGCTTTCGACCAATCAGAATACGCGTTATATACATGTTATTTTATAAAAAAATTTCCATGTTGACAAAAATTTTCCGCTGACGCCATGTTTTTTGTTTTGAAGCGAACTGCAATGCTACCTGACTCTTCCCTCGAGATCTTCTAGAATGCGATTGGCTCATCTATATTTCAGATTTATCGTAGTATTTTATGTACTGTCTGTGATTTAAAATTATGACATCTTTATTTGGAAGTAATAAAACCATGATATTCAGGTTAAGTTAGCGTGCGTAGCAGTAATCTGAGTGTGATAATAATCACCCTCGGAAACAATAATTTCGGAAACATTTTCTTGCATGTTGGATAATTTTAATATATAGCAAAATATAATGTTGAGGTTTTATTATTATTACTTAATATATATGTTTTATATCAGTGTTACATTTTCTTATTAACATTTCGTGAATTAGTGTACGAAACATAATTATAAAATAACATGTATATAACGCGTATTCTGATTGGTCGAAAGCCGTGTTTGGATCAGGCCATCCAAACACGGAAGACTACCGTGTTGTTGTTATTTTATAAAACAATTACTTTATGGTTTCCGTGTTTGGATGGACTGATCCAAACACTTGGGAATGTTGCTCGAGTTAAGAAAAGCGGGCAAAATCTCTCGCCTTCGGCTCGTGTTTCGCTCGCTTTTCTTAACTCTCGCAACATTCCCGCGTGTTTGGATCAGGCCATCCAAACACGGAAACCATAAAGTAATTGTATATAGAAAGATTAAGGTCAATGATGATTTATTATCTGAATCGATATCTTTATAGACATTGATATCTTTATAGACTGAATTATGTGAACTTCAGAAGAAAGTAAAGTTCATTTTGTACGAAAACTTGGACAATCTGTGTCTCTACTGCATCAAGAACGTAAGAGGTACTATAATTAATATAATTAATTCGACATATAATAATAACTTGTTTGAACAATCAAGAAAAAAGCATTAAAACTATAAGATAATTCGGTTAGTGGGTTGCAGAAAGCGGTATTTGTTGGAAGGGTCTGGTTTTATGGTTTTTTTTACAGATAAGCTTCCGTTGACGTGTGGTTGTGTGACAGCTTGTAATGATTGTCTTCGAAATAATGGCCCGCTGGACTGTCCGGAACATGGAATGCATTATTCGAAAATTGGTTAGTTACATGGGTTAGGATAAAACGCGCATATATGACTGCTCAATGACAATGTCGTTTAACGAGAACATAAGTCATCCGTCCGTCCGTATCCGCGTTTTATCCTAACCCTTAGCTACATGCAGTGTATATCTAATTAGCCCCTTGCTCGCGGGTCAAAAGCCTTGTAAAGCGAGGATGGAATCTAAGGATTTTTTAAAGACAAAATTTTTTTATATCACTGCGCATAGGATAACATTTCAATTCGGCTCCATGCTAAACAGCGATGCAACACTCTTAGTACGTATAGCTTATCAGTTGCTCATTGCATATATTTACTAAACCAGCTGAAAATTTACTTCTTGCCAATTTGTGAATTAATACAAGACTTTCTACGAATTCGTCAGTGGTGGAGGGGACCTAACTACGAGTTGGTGAACTGGAAAACACCAAATTTTCCTGGGCGTCTGTCTCGGTGTTCTCCCCACAAAATAATGTTTATATATATTGTGTTATTCTGATTATACTCGCAAAATCATTCCGGTGGCCCATAGTCATAGAAACAGTTACTTGGATTTTGAAATTTTGTCTGTTGTACACAGGTCATCCCCTCACGTATGGTGTTGTAATACAAGGAGAGTTCCATGAAAACAAATCAATCTGTGATAATGATTCAGTCGCCATGGAAAGTCTTTTAAACGACCAAAATATCTTCGCTATCAAGTTAGTGGAATTTATTTATTTATTGGGTTAATGACGGGCAAGAGAAGATTAAGATCTAGATTTCAATTAAGACTTGTATTCTTGAGTTTTCAATCACATGATGTTTTAAGCATAACTTGACTCACGTGGGAGTCAATCATTAAACTGAGGTCAACCAAAACAACAAAGAAACAAAATGACTGTGTAATGCATCTTCTGTAAATGAGTTCTCCCACTATTATGAAAGCCAATATAAAACAATGTGAACAATATAAAAGCCGACTTTACCTTTGATATATGAACCCGAGATACAGGCCTTAATCGGTCGGAATAATCCCCAGCCTAGTCCCTGGCTATGCGTGTCTAGCCGTGAGCGGTGACGTCACAGTTATGTTCCACGTGCTCACATGCTTCAGAACGACGGAGAGTAGGCTGAATAATCCCGTCATTTGCATGTATATATCAAGCCCAACTTGGAAGAACCGTAGCGTTAATAATAATAATAATAATAATAATAAACTTTATTTAAAGAAGGTGCAATTATACAAAAACCAGTTTAGCAACGCTAATCTCACACCGAGCCTTCTGTTCAACTGTCTATCTATTACAAATTTACTATTAAAACTACACATTAAACTGGACATCATGCAGTACAACAAGCACATATAAAAGTCGTACAAACAAAAAAAAAGTCGTATAAAAATGACGGCCGTGTAAACACGGAGTGATAGCTTATACTTGTAAATATTGAAATATTTCGGTTGTTTCGGCAGTTTTTATTGAAATGTTTCAGCATAATCAGCAATATGATACCTTACTTCCCATCACCCCCTTCGTGCATAATTAAAAGCAGAAATTGCCAATTCAACACTAACGTGCGAGGCCGGTAGTTTCGGGTTGGAAGAGCTAGGAATATATATATTCATAGTAAGAATATGAATATTATTTGAAACAAAATTGAAAGGAAAGTTTATCTCCCTTCCCCCCTTTTCGACAGGCATTTTGAAGGTGGGAATATTGAATGTTTAAGTACTAGATAAAACATGAGCAGCCGATCTTTATCTGATATAAAAACTCGAGGTGAAGGCGAGAGTTTGTATATCAGATAAAGATCGGATGCGAATGTTTTATCGTGCTTATAAAACGACCCATCTTATGAGTTCATTGGCGAAGTAATTTTAAAAATAAACATTGTCTAAGCCGAGAAAATCAAAGCTGAAGTTTATGTAAATCAGGACAAATCTTTATGCGAAACATTGTTTAAACATTCATTTCTTTTCTCTGCTTCCACCCACGAGGTAGTTATCGGTTGTACTGCATAGTCCGACAGGACTTTAATTTTACTATATCTTTAATATCAGGATGATCCTCGTTTAAATGTTAAGAAAGAAAGTTCGTATAGTAAGTTAATTCAGTTTAACACTTCATGCAGAGTACTTTCTTAAAACCCCAAAACAAATTTTGGTGAACAAAAGCAATAATCTATATATGCTGCACTAGATAATTAACCACATATATTTACTTGTATAGAAACATTGAACGTATAAAATCTAAAAATCAAAGTGAAGCCTGTGAGGAATTGAAAAGACTAAAAACGAAGATCATGGGTGACAAAAAAGCGGCAAAGGATAGCGAGAAGTACCCAACAACGTTACTGCTTTACATCACAGGCCATTGCAACGACGCTGGCAACCTAATACTTCCCGATGGCAGCATTTTGAAAAAGAAAATCCTGTCTGATTTCATAAATAATATTAATCCAAAGAATCTGATTGTGTTAGCCAATGGTCATTATTCGGAGAAGTTGGTGAAAAATCTTTCACAGGCGCAGAAAAATATTTTTTTTACTTCTAGTACATTCTTTGGTGTGTTTTCGCATGCTGGTAACATGTGTGCAGTGTCACACAGAGATATTAGTGACGAAAATAGTATTTTTGTGAAGTTCATATTAGATATCCTCAAGAAGGATGAAGCTGAAGTTTCTTCCAGTTCAAGTGGGGTGAGCGAAGGATATCTTACAGCAGCAGGACTTGCTGCTGAGATCAGTAAGCGTACGCAGGAGAAGTTCAACAAATGTCTGAAGCCAATTGACCGGTACGGCAGTTGTATCCCAATTGCATATATTTGAATTATAATAGTCAAGGTGTTTAATTAACTGACTATAATACATGTATAAATAGCGTAACACCATGAGAAATATGTTAAATATGCACATGAATGTGTAAAATAGTATGTATAAAAAGCGGTAGTATTTAGTATTATGATCACAGAAATTGTTCGGTAACTTCGGTCATTCAGATAATTGGAAAGCTTGCAGGGCCCCTGGTTATTAACCCAGATAACCACAAGGTGAAAGTCCTGGTTAAATCAACTATAAGGAATATAGGTTAAGGCCGGATTCCACGAGGCGGAATTTTTCGACCGAAACGAAATTGCTCTTTGTCTTTTTACAATTAGTTCTGCTCGAGAGCTCTGAAACAAAGAGAAATTTCGATTCGGTCGAAAAATTTCGCCTAGTGGAAAACCGCCTTTAAAATAACCAGGAAAAATAACCGTTATAACTGAAAAATAAAGGTTATTCCTGGGTGAATTTTAACCAGAGTGTAACACCACTGCAGTTGTAAGTATATTTAAACATTAGACAATGGATCAATATTAAGCCCGTTCTCCACTAGGCGAATTTTCTCGCGCGACGCGAAGCGAAAAATAAATCTTGCCAATGTGATTGGTCAGCGAAAAAATTCGCCGCGAAAAAGTTGGATCAGTTCCTACTTTTTTACTGTTCGCGCGAACAAATTCGCCTAGTGGAGAACGGGCTTTAGTATAGGAGTGAAAGGGCTCCTATGCTGTATTGTATAAAAGTAGGTAGAACTACAAGTCGCACCTCGAGTCGCACACTAAAGAATCCATATTTATAAGTAGATCGGACAAAACGATGGTGGTGAAACCATCTCTATCACGTATATAGAAAATTTGTAATATTGTTGGAGCGACTTCCATACAAAAGTCATTAAATCATGTAATTTTTAAATTAAAATTCCAATAAAGTGGTTGCCTATAGTGTTTTATAAAAGGACTGGTAACTAGGTCCTGACGTCGCGTGAAATCTACTCGACAAGTTGTAAGATTTTTACGTGCATGTGTAATACCCTGGTAATACAAATAAACATGCACGCGTGCATTAGGTCATGACCTTACGTGCGGATATTAATACTATAGGGAGCCATCAATCTGGCGTTTAGTTAGTAGTTTTTTTTTACACAATACACTGTGAATTGTTCTAGTATTATACAGGGTGTCCCAAAAAACGAGAACTATTGAAATCACCAATAACAATTTAATTGTTAGAATTTGAATGCCTTGGCACTCTGTTGGTTCCCACGAGTGCATAAATGATTGACATAAATTTTATGCATAAAGAAACTATTTAAGAAGCTGCTTTAAATTCCCAAGAGCAGAAAATCGCGCACTTTACAAGATGTTTTAACCAAATTTTAATACATGCACCTTGTCAATATTTTACGCATCATTACGTTCAGCGTTTTGGTAGGCATTCAATTTTAACAATAAGTGATTTCAATAGTTTTCGGGTTTTTTGGGACACCCTGTACTGTATAACTAGGCAATTTGTACTATTAGCTATACTGTATTTAGTTCAATTGTTAATCCAAAATCCTTATAACCATACAAAAGACAGCATTGTTGCAAGACTTACAGTTATACATGTACATTGCATTTAGTTCATTAAATAGTAATCTCAATGACGACTCAAGTACATTTGTAAATGAATGATTGAATAAAAATATTTACTAATTCAATTCATTACGTCTTTGTGTGAATTTTCGGGAGTAGAACTAATTTCAGTTCATCCTAGTCAGATCTCTTCAACTCAAGACCAGCAATTCTTCGTTTCCGTCTTTAGATTTTCTCGCATAATGATATACTTTATAATGTATATAGACTTTACTGTGCCAACTTTCATACGGTACCGCGTAGGAATTTGCCATCCCTTATTTTTACGGTTTTAACCGCATAAGTAGTACCTAACCACCAGCCTCTATAGCAGTTGCTTTATCATTAATTCAAAAATCCTCAAAACCTTCATGCTACGCAGGCTAAACAAGTAAGGGGACAAAACCACCAACTGTCAACGCCAACCTGTTGGGTCCAACACTTAACTCAACTTATTTTTAATTTTGTCACTCTCGGAAAGCGACGGAAACATTGCAGCACGTAGTAGTAGAACCATGGTTAGGTAGAACAAACCTAACATCGTAACAAACGCTTCTGCGCCTTATAAAATTTTGGAACTAATTTTGCTTGGATATCTTGTCTTTAAACTCGCTTGGTAGATTTAATTTTGCGCACCTTAAATATTAATGAAAATATTTTCGTGCGGTTAAAAATTCGCACTTCTTTGTACTGTCAAAAATCACACTTAAGGGGCCGACCATTTAACTTTTGAGGGGGGGGGGGGGTGATTTGGAAAAAAATTTCCTGCAAGGCTATTCTGAACAAAAAAATACCTGCACTAACAAACTGGGGAAAAAAATATCCTGCCCCAGTATTTGGTGGGAAAAAAAATGTTGCAAAACAGCATGGTTGCAGGGATCGATTTGACCAGTCCGAGAAGATCAGCTGGTTTGATTTTCAGGGACTAGTGTAAGGGTTAATTTCTTTTTGGAAAACTCCTCAAAATGATGGAAATAGCTTATCTGAGCTTCAAAAAATCCAAAATTTTCTGGGGGCATGCCCCCAGACCCATCTAGAGGCTCGCACCTTCGGTGGTCGACTCCGTTGTCTCACTGGTCCTAGTTAAGCATGGCCTGAGCTGCTGCCCTATGACGTATACTTATTAGTTAAACCATGCATATATATGCTGTAGGTAGCTGCAGTGATACAGACAGGGCTGTACCGAGGAGAGGGGTATTGGGGGGTGGTTAGATTCAGAAAATCGGGTTGGCCATTCGGAAAATTATGGCAATAATAGTAGAACAAAATTTTAGTTGTTAAACAGAAAATATTATAAAATTGTATTGTCACTATAAATTGTAAGCAAATTGTAAATTTCGACATCCTAAAACGCTTTTTTCTGACCATCAGCATACTGTCAAAACTTCCCCAAAGTCCAGGAAATGGCATTTCAGAGACTCGAAATTTAAAAATTTCCTCGGCCCTCGCTTTCTGCCCCCAATAAACAAAAGCTCCCTACCGCACTGCTTCTGTAATATGCCTGTGCGTAAAATATGCGTATTTTTGTTTGTAAATTGCGTCTTCATTTTCCGAATAGCAAACACCTTCGTGGCTTAGTATGTCATGATATATTCGGAAATTATTTTCGTCATTCGGAAATTTTTGGCCTACACATGCTAGCTACGGCCCTGGATACAGACTTGCCGACTGGAACTTCTCCAGTCCCCCGCTAATTATGTCCTCTCCAGTTACACATCCTTAATGTAGGATCTAACCCGAAAAGTAGGGCCTAATCGCCTGCGAGCAGGCAGGACATCACGTGATAAAAACACATGTTGGTTTTATATTTTTTGATTGTTTGTTCGCATATTTACGAAGGGCAAACGTCAGGTACATTTGCATGTTTTTGGTCCTGTTTCTATGTATTTGTAAAGTAATTTGTTTCTTGTAGCGTAGTTTATAATGTATTTGTATTGTTTCTATAGAAACCACCTTTAAAGCGATGTTTTGTACGAAAATATATTGATATATGAATTTAATATGGATTCAATTTTATACGTGGTGCGTTTCGGATAATCCCTTTCAAGAACAACAAAGTTTCTGACTTCTTCGTAAGTTATTGCTATTGTGTAATTATTTGTGTATATTTGTGGCTTAATGAAGCGTGAATTTCGTCAAGTAAAGTTTGATTATTGTGCATAAATAGTCTTGCACCGTGATAAAAGGTGTATTTTTGGATCATATGGGGTCTAGAAGGGATAATGATGGACGGTTGAATATGGATGCAGTAAGAGACGAGAGAGAAGATGTTTCAACACAATATACTGCTGAATGGCTCAGCAATGTTCAAATGCCCCCAAAGGCCCACTCTGTTGTTCAAGATATTGATGAACCCCATTCGCCTAGAGTTTCTAGGTCTGCCCCTGCATTAAGTGTCAAGTCAAGGCAGAGTAATGCAGGCATCAGTAGAAGCAAGTTGCAGTTGCAGTTAAGGCAACTGAAAGAAAAACAACAATTAGATAGGGAAGCTCGGCATTTAGAACTAGAAATGCAAAGACAAGAATTAGAACTAGAAAGGAAACGACGATTCGCTGAGATTGCAGAAAGAAAGGAATTGCAAGAAATGGAAGCTAAGTTAGCACATGCTGAGCTCTTGGAACAATTCGAAGTCGATAGTGATGATCAGATCTCCGATGATGGTAACAGAGAACTGAATATGATGAGTCATGACCATGAGGGAAATGGACCTTATGATGATGCGGAACAACGTGATGCGGAACGTCGAGATACGGAGCGTCGAGATGCGGAAAGTCGAAATGCGGAGCGAGGAGATGCGGAACGCCGAGATGCGGAAAGTCGAGATACGGAGCGTCGAGATGCGGAACGCCGAGATGCGGAAAGTCGAGATACGGAGCGTCGAGATGCGGAACGTCGAGATACGGAGCGTCGAGATGCGGAACGTCAAGATGCGGAACAACGTGAAACGGAACGTCGAGATGCGGAGCGTCGAGATGCGGAACGTCGAGATGCGGAACGTCGAGATGCGGAACGTCGAGATACGGAGCGTCAAGATGCGGAACAACGTGAAACGGAACGTCGAGATGCGGAACGTCGAGATGCGGAAAGCCGAGATGCGGAAAGACGAAATGCGGAGCGAGGAGATGCGGAACGTCAAGAAGCGGAGCGACGGGAGACCGAAAGTAGAGAATTATATCGAAGAGACGAACTCTTTAGTCATGCAAGATATAATGCTGAACAGTTTCGAATGCCATATGGAACATACAATAACACGTTTATGAATCCCCAAGTGCCCACAACACAAATGTACCAGCGAGGTTATACAACGGATCAACAAACCCAATTAGTACACCCTAACTTTGTTCCAACGATGTATCAGGATGCAGTTCAAAGTTCGTGTCCACAGTACGGGAATGTTCATTCCCATAATCGTCAGTTTCAACATCCAACATCCGATAGTCAACAGATGTTCGAACAACAACAACAAGCTTTGAGATTGATGGCAACTACAATTGGGTCGACAATAAGTAAAGGTTTTGTGATGCCTAAACGCGAATATATGTCTTTCGATGGGAATCCATTAGACTACCCTAGCTTTACAACAAATTTCAAGACTAATGTGGAAGACGGCGAAAGCGATCCCAACGTTAGACGCACTTATTTGATCCAACTCTGTACGGGAAAGGCAAAGGAAGCCATCAGTGGATCTGTGATGTTACCGCCGGAAGAGGGGTACAAAAAGGCAAAGTCTATTTTGCATGAAATGTTTGGGCAGGCTCATATTGTGGCTGCTTCTAACATTGATCGAGTGACGAAAGGTTCTATAATTAGAGAAAATGAGAGTGAAAAGCTTATGCAGTTAGCCCGAGACATGGAAAACTGTGGAATGAATTTGAACAAATTGGGCTACCAATCAGATATAAACTCAAGACACAACATCAGGGCGATTGTTTTACGGCTGCCAAAATACCTCCGTTCAGATTGGGCCAAAGAGGCGAATAAGCTTAGAGATCAAAGAAGTGAACCAGATTTCGCAGCACTCACAAAGTTTGTAGTAAACAAAGCTAAGTTGGCAAATACTGAGTATGGTCGGCTTGTTAATGTTAAAATGGACTGGGAAAGGAACAAAACCAAGTCTTATGGTAAACAACAGAGGAACGTCTCAGCTTATCAAGTGTCGAATATTTCGTCAAACGAAGAACAAGATGGTAAACGAAACATAACAATGAAGTTAAAATGCATTTTCTGTAGTAAGGAAGGCCATTCGCTAGGTAGATGTTATATGTTCCAAGAAAAATCGTGCGCTGAAAGAAAGAAATTTGTCTCGGAAAAGGGATTGTGCAATCTCTGTCTGGCAAAGGGACATTTTGCTAGCAAGTGCCAGAAAGGCCGTAAGTGTTTTATTGCGGGATGCGGTAGACGACATCATCCCTTGCTTCATTCAACTGAATCTAACCAAAACAAACGAGAAGAAGATTCCACGAAAGTTTATAAAGATAAAGATCAAGAATCACCGGCCAAGCCCAAAGGTCTAAATGCACAAAATGGTCACTGTGGTACAGCTGACAGCAAAACGGCAAGTATGTTTGAGAGTTATTCCCGTGAAAGTGTCTAGCAGAGACAATTCGCGAGAAAAAATCACCTATGCCATACGGGACGAAGGTTCCAACACAACATTGGTTAAAGAGAGTTTGGTGAATGAGCTCGGATTGGAAGGTCAACCTCTTGATTTTAAACTAACGACCATGAACAAGGTTTCTCAAGAGTCTGGGAAGTCGCATTTTCTCTATGTGCAAGGTCTTGGCCAAAACGATTGCTTAGAAATTCCTAATGCCCTATCAATTAAGGATTTATCTGTGGCGAGAAGTTGCATTCCAACCAAAGGAGATATTAGCAAATGGAGTCATCTGAATGACGTACATATTCCCGAATTGAAAAATCCAGAGGTGACTCTTCTTATTGGCACTGACGTACCAGAAGCTCATTGGAAGATGGAAGAACGACGCGGACGTAAAAAGGAGCCTTATGCTATACGAACACCGCTTGGGTGGTCAGTTGCAGGTCCCATGGGAACAACGTCAGAAAGTGAATTCAGTGCGTTCTTTGTTCGTGAAGAGGATGAATTCCTCGGCCGAACGGCAGAGAAGATGTTTGAGATGGATTTCAGTGAAAGTACGTATGGGCAGAGCCTCGGCATGTCTTTAGAAGACAAGAAAGCACTGTCAATAATGGAAGAGTCTCTCAAAGTTGTGGATAGTCATTATCAGCTCGATTTACCCTTTCGTGATAAGCTGGGCTTTCCCAACAACAGAGGTTTAGCCGAAAGAAGATTACATTCGCTTAAGGCACGTTTAAAGAAAG